AAGGTAGAAGCAGGCTGTTTTAGCCTGTACACACTGAGTTGATGGCTTCCAGTGACCTGTTGGACTTTGGAGTCAAATTTAACTCACTTTCTGTTGTTTTACACAGATCAGTCACAGGACAGAGTGTTTCACCAGATCTCACCTTTACAAAAAAATACCAATTCGATACACCCATATTTCTCTGAACAGTACTCTTTTGCTTCTTAAGCCTAAGCAAGTGTGTAAAGCTCCTTTTGTGGACTTTATGAGCTAACAACCACCTAATAAGTTCTAAATGGAGTTTTAATACCAAAATACAACTGTTTGATGGGTGTGGGACGCTGATTTGAGCTGTTGTGATTTGGGGCCCCTATGTGGCCCCTGAAAGAAACTAGCTTGGGAAAGGCGGCAGAAGGTTGAGATTCAAGATTCTTGATGGTGTTGTCTCTGTAAGACTTCTCGGTAAGTTTGAAGCCATTTGGAGCTCAACTCAGAGATTTCTACATGAAAGCCTCTAAAAGGTAGAAGCAGGCTGTTTTAGCCTGTACACACTGAGTTGATGGCTTCCAGTGACCTGTTGGACTTTGGAGTCAAATTTAACTCACTTTCTGTTGTTTTACACAGATCAGTCACAGGACAGAGTGTTTCACCAGATCTCACCTTTACAACAAAAATACCAATTCCATACAACATATTTCTCTGAACAGTACTCTTTTGCTTCTCAAGCCTAAGCGAGCGTGTAAAGCTCCTTTTGTGGACTTTATGAGCTAACTGCCACCTAATAAGTTCTAAATGGAGTTTTAATACCAAAATACAACTGTATGATGGTGTGGGACGCTGATTTGAGCTGTTGTGATTTGGGGCCCCTATGTGGCCCCTGAAAGAAACTAGCTTGGGAAAGGCGGCAGAAGGTTGAGATTCAAGATTCTTGATGGTGTTGTCTCTGTAAGTCTTCTCGGTAAGTTTGAAGCCATTTGGAGCTCAACTCAGAGATTTCTACATGAAAGCCTCTAAAAGGTAGAAGCAGGCTGTTTTAGCCTGTACACACTGAGTTGATGGCTTCCAGTGACCTGTTGGACTTTGGAGTCAAATTTAACTCACTTTCTGTTGTTTTACACAGATCAGTCACAGGACAGAGTGTTTCACCAGATCTCAACTTTACATCAAACAATACCAATTTCATACAGCCATATTTCTCTGAACAGGACTCATGTAGAGATTTCTACATGAAAGCCTCTAAAAGGTAGAAGCAGGCTGTTTTAGCCTGTACACACTGAGTTGATGGCTTCCAGTGACCTGTTGGACTTTGGAGTCAAATTTAACTCACTTTCTGTTGTTTTACACAGATCAGTCACAGGACAGAGTGTTTCACCAGATCTCATCTTTACAGCAAACAATACCAATTTCATACAGCCATATTTCTCTGAACAGTACTCTTTTGCTTCTTAAGCCTAAGCGAGTGTGTAAAGCTCCTTTTGTGGATTTTATGAGCTAACAACCACCTAATAAGTTCTAAATGGAGTTTTAATACCAAAATACAACTGTATGATGGGTGTGGGACGCTGATTTGAGCTGTTGTGATTTGGCCCCTGAAAGAAACTAGCTTGGGAAAGGCGGCAGAAGGTTGAGATTCAAGATTCTTGATGGTGTTGTGTCTGTAAGTCTTCTCGGTAAAGTTTGAAGCCATTTGGAGCTCAACTCAGATTTCTACATGAAAGCCTCTAAAAGGTAGAAGCAGGCTGTTTTAGCCTGTACACACTGAGTTGATGGCTTCCAGTGACCTGTTGGACTTTGGAGTCAAATTTAACTCACTTTCTGTTGTTTTACACAGATCAGTCACAGGACAGAGTGTTTCACCAGATCTCACCTTTACAGCAAACAATACCAATTTCATACAGCCATATTTCTCTGAACAGTACTCTTTTGCTTCTTAAGCCTAAGCGAGTGTGTAAAGCTCCTTTTGTGGATTTTATGAGCTAACAACCACCTAATAAGTTCTAAATGGAGTTTTAATACCAAAATACAACTGTATGATGGGTGTGGGACGCTGATTTGAGCTGTTGTGATTTGGGGCCCCTATGTGGCCCTGAAAGAAACTAGCTTGGGAAAGGCGGCAGAAGGTTGAGATTCAAGATTCTTGATGGTGTTGTCTCTGTAAGACTTCTCGGTAAGTTTGAAGCCATTTGGAGCTCAACTCAGAGATTTCTACATGAAAGCCTCTAAAAGGTAGAAGCAGGCTGTTTTAGCCTGTACACACTGAGTTGATGGCTTCCAGTGACCTGTTGTACTTTGGAGTCAAATTTAACTCACTTTCTGTTGTTTTACACAGATCAGTCACAGGACAGAGTGTTTCACCACATCTCACCTTTACAAAAAACAATACCAATTTCAAACAGCCATATTTCACTGAACAGGACTCATGTAGAGATTTCTACATGAAAGCCTCTAAAAGGTAGAAGCAGGCTGTTTTAGCCTGTACACATTGAGCTGATGGCTTCCATTGACCTGTTGGACTTTGGAGTCAAATTTAACTCACTTTCTGTTGTTTTACACAGATCAGTCACAGGACAGAGTGTTTCACCAGATCTCACCTTTACAGCAAACAATACCAATTTCATACAGCCATATTTCTCTGAACAGTACTCTTTTGCTTCTTAAGCCTAAGCGAGTGTGTAAAGCTCCTTTTGTGGATTTTATGAGCTAACAACCACCTAATAAGTTCTAAATGGAGTTTTAATACCAAAATACAACTGTATGATGGGTGTGGGACGCTGATTTGAGCTGTTGTGATTTGGGGCCCCTATGTGGCCCCTGAAAGAAACTAGCTTGGGAAAGGTGGCAGAAGGTTGAGATTCAAGATTCTTGAAGGTGTTGTCTCTGTAGACTTCTCGTTAAGTTTGAAGCCATTTGGAGCTCAACTCAGAGATTTCTACATGAAAGCCTCTAAAAGGTAGAAGCAGGCTGTTTTAGCCTGTACACACTGAGTTGATGGCTTCCAGTGACCTGTTGGACTTTGGAGTCAAATTTAACTCACTTTCTGTTGTTTTACACAGATCAGTCACAGGACAGAGTGTTTCACCAGATCTCACCTTTACAAAAAACAATACCAATTTCAAACAGCCATATTTGACTGAACAGGACTCATGTAGAGATTTCTACATGAAAGCCTCTAAAAGGTAGAAGCAGGCTGTTTTAGCCTGTACACACTGAGTTGATGGCTTCCAGTGACCTGTTGTAGTTTGGAGTCAAATTTAACTCACTTTCTGTTGTTTTACACAGATCAGTCACAGGACAGAGTGTTTCACCAGATCTCACCTTTACAGCAAACAATACCAATTTCAGACAGCCATATTTCTCTGAACAGTACTCTTTTGCTTCTTAAGCCTAAGCGAGTGTGTAAAGCTCCTTTTGTGGATTTTATGAGCTAACAACCACCTAATAAGTTCTAAATGGAGTTTTAATACCAAATACAACTGTATGATGGGTGTGGGACGCTGATTTGAGCTGTTGTGATTTGGCCCCTGAAAGAAACTAGCTTGGGAAAGGCGGCAGAAGGTTGAGATTCAAGATTCTTGATGGTGTTGTGTCTGTAAGTCTTCTCGGTAAGTTTGAAGCCATTTGGAGCTCAACTCAGAGATTTCTACATGAAAGCCTCTAAAAGGTAGAAGCAGGCTGTTTTAGCCTGTACACACTGAGTTGATGGCTTCCAGTGACCTGTTGGACTTTGGAGTCAAATTTAACTCACTTTCTGTTGTTTTACACAGATCAGTCACAGGACAGAGTGTTTCACCAGATCTCACCTTTACACAAACAATACCAATTCGATACAGCCATATTTCTCTGAACAGTACTCTTTTGCTTCTCAAGCCTAAGCGAGTGTGTAAAGCTCCTTTTGTGGACTTTATGAGCTAACAGCCACCTCGGCGAGGGCCTGCCAAAAATAGTTTTAACTCATTGGCGTCCCTCTCCACGGAAGTCTTTAGTAAAAGGCGAAAGACTTGTACGTTATGAAGAGAAACCCGAGTAAGTACGGGCCCCTCCTCCAGAGCCGCTGACGAGCCTAGTCGTCCCGGTCACTACCCTCACGGTAAGCCTCACTCTGCCTCTCGAGTCCCAAGTACCAGGCCACGCCCGTTTCCCTACCCCTCCCCAGGTCGTGGCAGGCTCTATCCAATCGGGCTGCGGAGAGACGAAGGCCTGGCTTTTGGACAGAGGCTACCGAACGACTCGGGCTCTTGTAGCCTCTCGATGACAAGTGAGAGAAAGGGAGGGGAAACGTGGCCGATCGCTTCTCGGCCTTTTGGCCAAGACTGCAATCGCCTCCTCTTTCTGGTTAAAACCTTTGCCGGTTTGGGGCTTCGTTTTGTGTCACCAGCTTTTCTGGGAGGAGATTCACCTCATTCCTTGTGAATAAAATTTCAACTTTGCCGTAGTTGAAAAACTTTTGCAACAAGGAATTCATTGGTCCCGAGGTACCTACCTGTCCTCTGCCGGACTACCACCTTGACCAGACCAAAGACGAGAAGGTAAGTGTGTTTTATTCACCGATTTAGCAGTTGTAGCAGGTTTCCTTACTTCATTTTAGGTGTTTTAGTTTCTTGTATCCTTTCTACGCTGCGGTTCCTTCACCGTGTTGGCCAACCGTGCCGGCCTACGGAGGCGCCGCAGTGTCCCCTCCCCACCTTCTGAGAGGCTCTATCCAATCGTATTGCGGAGAAATGAAGGCCTGGCTTTTGGACACAGGCTACCGAGCATCCGAAATACTCGGGCTCTCAATGACGAGTGGGAGAAAGGGAGGGGAAGTGCAGGGCACATTTAACAGCCATGCCGGTCCCAAATATCCCCTCGTCGTCTGCCAATCAAAAGTGCAAATCTCGCTGCCTTCTTTGAGGCTTCAGCTGGCTGAAAGCGGCTGCCCCCCCTCGACTGGCGCCTTTTTCGGGCCGGCGTCCGGCAGAGCGACGAACCTCTGCGTTTGGGTCAGTATTTTGGTTTTACACAAAGAAAGAGAAAGAGAAAGAGAAGGGTGCACCGCCCCCGGAGGCACTGCAATACCGGGTCGATGCGTGGAGTGGACGGAGCAAGCCCCTCGTCTCTAGTCCCGGTGCTAAAAATCCATTTAATATGTTGCCCCCTTATAGGGGACAAGTTACCTTTTAAAATACAACACGTCAATAAATAGATAAATGTTCTCTGTAAAACAACATTTAAAAAAAGTGTTTAAAATGCATTACAGATAACGTCATAAATTAAAGGTATAAAATGGTTTTCAGCTTGTCCATGTCAGTGAGTGTCTCTGTTAAAATGTCTTCAAAGTGGAGCGCATTTGTTAAAATACAACTCACAAAAAATAAATGGATAATAAAAGCTCTTCTCCAAGTCCACTGTTGTGCAGGAGTGTAGTGAGTCCCTATCAAAGGGGAACTCATTCAGCTCGCCCAAACAGATTTGGTCTCTCGGGATCTTGTCCAGGCGCTCAGAGGAGACCCTCACCCTGTAGCTCCTTCCCACCAACCTCACCCGGAGGGTCAGGCCGCCGCTGCCTTGAACTTTCCTTGTGTGGCTCCGGCTCCTCCGTCCGAATGGGCACAGAGGCGATTCTTCTTTGTGGCTGTGTCCTAGGCCCGCCGCCTGCAGCTCTGGCCGTTTGGGCCGTTGCTGCGGCCATCCGGATCACAGCCACGGGGGGGATCTGCATGTGCTTTCTTGCCAGCAAGTTTCTGGAGGTCCATATGGCGTCTTTGATGGCGGCTAGGGTGAGCCACTGTTTGGCAAATGTACGTGCTGGTATCTGATTTCCTTGGCTCACCCCGTACAGCACCAGCTGTGGTGTGAGGACCTCCCTTGCTGGCAAGTACGGGAATTGCAAGGAGCCGGCTGTTGCCCACTGTTCTACGGCAGCACTGCACTCCCAGAGCAGATGCCTTACC